ATTATGGTAATTACAAAAATATTAACGATAATAACGATAAAAAAGAAAATAACAGTAATAATGATAATGATAATAATAACCATAAGACCTATAATAATAACGATAATAACGATAGCAAAATAATAGCTATAATTACGACAATATCGATAATAACTTTGATAACGATAATGACGACATTAATATTAATGATTATTTCTATAACGATAATATTTATAATATTAATAATAATAACGATAATATTGCAATTAACGATAATATGAATATTAATAACGATAAAAACTATTATCACGACAATAACGATAATAACGTAAATAATGCCCATAGTCATAACAATAATGGTAAGTGTAATAGTAACAATAAGAGCGACAATAATAAGGATATTAATAAGAATAATAATAAATTCAATAATAATAAAAATTACGATAATAACGATAATAACGGTAATAACATTTAAGAAGATAAAATTAATTACGATGGTAACGATAATAACGATTATTACATGAATAACGACAATAATAAATATAACGATAACGGAGACAATAATAACAAAAATAATAATAATAATAATAATAATAATAATAATAATAATATTAGTAATAAAGGTAGTAATAAGAATAATAATAATGATATAGATAAAAAGGAAAATAACGTAAATAACAATAATAATAATAGTAATCGTAATAATAAAAATAGCGATAATAAATATTATAGCGACAATGAGAGTACTAACTTTAGAATGATAATAATAACGTTAATAACGATAATTACGATAATAATGTTAATTACAATAATAATGACAATAACACTAATAGTAACGACAACAGCAGTAATTATTACGATAATAATGATTATAATAGTAATAATATTAACGATAATTATTAAAATATCGATAATAGAAATAATAATAAAAATGACGGTAATAATGATAAGAATGATAATAAGGTTAACATAGATTATAAAAACGATAATAATAATAGCAGCGATTACAGTTACAACAAAAACAATAATTATAATAATAATATAAATAATAATGATAACGATAATAACAATAATAATAAAAGTAAAGATAATATCGATGAAAGCGGTATTAACCATAGTAAAGTTAATCACGATATTAGTAATAAAATCGATAATATACTTAATAACGATATTAATAACGCCTATAATAATAATAAAATAATCACGATAATAAAGATAATAATATTAACAAAAATAATAATAACGGTAATAATAAAAATAAATTTAATAAGGATAATAACGATAATAACGAGATTGATGATAGAAAGGATAATAACGACAATAATAACGATAACAATCATAACAACGATAATGACGATAATTATGACAATAGCGATAATAACGATATTAACGTTAATAACAATAATAATAGCGAAAATTATAATTGTTACGATAACAGCGACAATAATAGGGATAAAGAAATTATAATAATAATAATAACAATACTATTAATAATAATAACGATAATAATGGATATAACAATAATAACGTCAATATCTATAAATCCGATAATATTAACAATATAATAATCAGAATAAAAGTAATATTAATAATAATAATAATAATAATATCGATGAAGAAAAATAATGATAATAAAGTTAATGAAGATAATAACGAATTTAACGATTATAAGGGTAATAATTAAAATTACGATAATAAAAACGATACTAATTAAGAATACCGAAAAAAACGATAATAACGATAATAAGAACGATAACAATAATAATTATAATAATAAAATATATTATAAAGAAAATAACAGCCATAACAATAATAAGGATAATATCGATAATAGTCAGAGAATAAATAATAACGTTCATAACAATAAAAAGATAATAACGGAAATAATTACGACAATAATAATTATAACAATAATAACCTTAATAATAATAATAATAACGGTATTAATAACTAATATCAATAATACCGATATTGACGATACTAATAATAATGGTAATGATGATAATAAGAAACATAACGTTAATGAATATAATAAAGATAATAACGATAATAACGATGATAACGATAATAATAATGGTAATAAGAAAAATATTGATAAAAGCGACAATAAGACAATAATTGTAATAATAATAAATATTATTATAATAACAATAATAATAAAATTAACAATAATAACGATAATAATAATGATAATAATAACAATAATAATAATAAAAGTAATTTAAACGTTAATAATAAATATAAGAGTAATATAGATATTAACAATAATAACGATAATAATAAAGATAATAATAATTGTAACGATAACAGCGACATTACTTACGATAATAATAATTATTTTAATAATAGTAGTAATATTAATAATAATAACGATAATAATAGAAATTACAATGATAACGAAAATATCTACAATAACGATAATAATAACAATAATAATAATAATAATAATAGTATTAATAATAATAATGATAATAATAATATCGTTACTAAAAAAATAACGATAATAAAGGCAATAACGATAATAACGATAATAACAACAATATCGGTAATAACATTATTAACGATAATAAAGATAAAAATATTATGAACGATAATGACGATTATGGCGATAATTACGATAATAACGTTATTAAAGTTTATAATAATTGTAACGATAACTGCAACAATAAGAACTATAATAAAAATAATAATATTAATAATAATATCGATATTAATAAAAATAATGTTAATAAAAATAGTAACTGAAATAACGTTAATAACGATAATAATTACGATAATAATAATGGCAACGATAACAGTAACAATAATAACGAAAATAATAATGATAAAAATAATAATTATAATATTAACCCTATGCCGTCAGCACGTCCAGTAAAAATTTATTCGCTTGGCGTCAGCAGCGCTAACTCGGATTACTTGGATTGTCGCCGAACGTACTTCACATTATCGCGAGTTTAGAAATTATGAAATTTTACTAATCCTATCTTTGGTTCTCATAACTCTCATCCATGTTCCTCTTTCATGAAATTACGATGATATACATAAGTAAATAAATACAAAATTTGCTTGTTTTATATATTAATTTTTCTGCACTTTCTTTGATTCTTAATATTTATCTTTCGTGCGATAAGCAGCAAAACAATCTCCAAGATGTAATGCAACCATACAAGACTTGCAGATTAAGTTTGTTATTCTTCTTTTTTGTTTTTGGAACATATGTTGCAGTATCTTCGTTTTCGTTTATTCGTTTCGTAAATAAGCACTAGTTGTTGTTGCTTTATGAGACCGAAAAGTCCGTCAACCGTATCATGATGAACGTACGCGATGTAGTGGCATCCTCAAAGTTTTGCTCAGATGTAGGTACATTGTATTTTATCCAAGAATCAGACACTTTCAATTAAAAGGTGCAAAATCGTAGTCTCTTGTGTTCTGTATTGAAATATTTACATGTATGGAATGCATTAAATAATGTACAATTAAAGGGGAACATTCAACCCTTTTTTGACCATTTTATAGTTTATCTGTATATAGGGTAATAATTCAAATATTGGTCTGCCCGATCCACTCCTTTCATGTATTTGTTATAGTCTAAATCACTTTCAGGTTTCTTTATGGTGTAATTGGTATTTCTACATTTTCTTTGGGTGTTAGTCAAAGTGACATAATGTAATGCAGAGATCATTCATATCGTTTTAGTTTTCGAAATTCTCCATACTTGTGTGAGTACTTCACCTTTCCGTTGATGTCAAGCTTCAAATACATTGACATTTATGTGCTTTAATTTTTCCGGAAATCCTTCATTTTGACGTAACGTTCCACAAACTCGAATTTTCTTACCAAGTAAATTCTCTACAAGTTCTTCACTGTAGTAATAATAATCCATGCAGAGATGATGCCACTTTCCATAAGAAGATTCCAATAGTTACATCACTTTTTTATCTAAAGCCTGCCTAACGCCGGAGTATATCATGAATGTGGTAATGTACCCCGTAATCGAATCACACATCATCCGAATGAGTATGCCATATTTCGTAATTTTTGATGGATTGTAAACTTTAAAATTTAACCGTCAACGCCACGGTATCATTCCTTCATCAATTGAGATGATTTGACTAAAATTATAATTTTTTTAAACTTTTTGGGAATATATTCAATTATGAATTGCACTTTGAAAAGGCGGTCGGCATTATCAGGTTTATTGATATTGTCGGAAAAATGTAAATATGATAATATTTGTCTGAATCGATTGCAGGAAATCTTTTTACGAAATATCGGTGTGTCTATCAACGGATTCGTTGACCAATAATTATCGATCCTTGCTTTTTTTACAATACACATAAGTATAGCAAGCCCAAACCATTTTCTAACTTCGGGTGCTGTAACGTCTACAAATTTGGCATATTTTTTATCCAGTTTCCTTCTACTGCAATTTTGACTGTAGTACTTGTTGGTTTCATTGCTAATATGTTCAAATTGATCGTTACCAATATATCATGCTACGACATCCTCGACGTTCTACATATCTTTGGGAAATATGTTTGGAACCGGAGATCCTTCGAATTTATTATTTGTCCTCGGTGCATCAAAGCCTCCTCTGTGCACTGCCTTATTCGCCTTATTCATCCGAACCAATTGACAACGGTAGTATTCACTGCATTCTTTTTATAGGTATTTCACTATCTTCCGACGATTCTGTTTTACTATCATTTTTTCCATATCCATTGTCTTCTTACCAAGTAATCCAATAGGTCAGACACGACGTTCGCGCATTAATCGTAAATAATCGTATCGTCTCTTTCGTCTGCCAAGATGAAATAGCACAAGTAATTATAAACACAAAAAACTTGAGACTTATAAAACTTATTGTTACCTAAACTAAGCATCAACATAATACGAAAGATATTAAAGTGCTGTTGCCGACCACAGAACGATAATATGCACCTAACAATGTTACACCGTTGTCCATTACCAGAAAATTTGCGCACGACACCACGGTCGAGACGTTCGCGTTGGTCGCTACTTTAGGCAAGAGACCAATGTTGTGTCATTAGCCATTGGCCGCAAATTTGCGCAACGGTTGTAATAACGGTTGTAATAACGTTGTCAACGATAGTAACCATAATACCGTGAATAACTATAATTGTGACGATAATAAGATTAGTAACGTTAACAGAACCAATGATAACGATAATAATTATAATAATAATAGTGTTAATAAAAATAATATTAATAATAACGACAAGAATGAGTACAACCATAATAACGATAACAATAACGGTTATAATAATATTAATAATAATAATAATAGTAACCATAATAATATAAATAACAATAATAACAAAACTGATGATAATAAAGTTAAGAACTTTAATTATGATAATAATGATGAAGATAATAATAATATCGATAAAAAGGATAATAACGATTATAATAATGTACATAATGACAATAACGTTTATATCGATAATATTAACGATAACAATACTTGTAATCGTAATAGCAATGATAATAACGATGGTAATAATAATTAAATTAATAATAATATTAATAAATAAAATAATAGGGATAACTATAATAATGGCAATAATAAATAAAATAACTATAAACACGGCAATAACGTTAAAACGATAATAGTTACAATAATATAAATAACGATAATAACGATAATAATAATATGAACGATAAAATCATTAATAACGATAATAATGTTAATAACGTTTATAACAGTAACGACGATAATAATATCGTCAGTAATAATAATAACAATAATAATAATAATAACATAAATAACTATAATAACGAAATAAACGATAATAACGTTAATAACGTTTCCGATAATGGAAATAGAAACGGTAACAGCGAAAATAATACTGATAATAGTAATAATATGAATTACAATATTAATAACGATAATAATAAAAAAACGATAATAATGATAATAATAAGGATAGTATTAACTGAAACGCAGACCTCGAAGTTAATGACAAAAATAGTAGTAATAATAGTAATAATAATAATAATAATAATAATAATAATTATATAATAATAATAAATTATATAATAATAAATATAATAATAATAATAATTATTATTATTATTATTATTATTATTATAGTAATAATAAAAATAATATCGGTAATAATAAGAATAATGATAATAAAGAAAATAACGATAATAGCGGTAATAACAATAATAACGATAACAATGATAATAAAAGCGATAATAATAATAATAACAATAATAACGATAACAAGGATAACAACAGTAACAACGTTAATAGCAAAAATAATAACTGTAAGAAAAATAATAACGGTAATATCCGTAACTGCAATAAAAATAATAAGGATAATAATAATAGAAATATTAATAATAATAACAATAACATTAAAAATAACAATAATACAATTAATAATAATAATATTAACTATAACATTAAAAATAAAGTTATTAAGTCTTACACAAATATTAACGTTAATAACTATAGGGATAAAGATAATAATATTAGTAGCAACAACAACGACAATAATAATGATAACATAAATAATAATAAAAGAAAATAAATATAATAATAATGACGATACTAATAAAGAGGACGATAAAAACGATAATCACGATAAAGTCAATGAAGATACTACGAACAATAATATTATCGATAATAATAATAATAACGAGAAAAACGATAAAGACGTCAATAATATCGTTTATAATGATAATAAAGTATATAATAATTAGAAGTATTATCCTAACTAGTAATTAGGATTATTACAATAATAACGATAATACCGATAAAAATAAAGATAATAAAAGTAATAACGACAGTAACGATAATAATAACGATAATAATAAAAATAATAATGATAATAATAATAATTATACCGATAGTAATGATCATAATAGCGATAATAAGATAAATAACCGAAATAAATGTAATAACGATAATATTAAAAATGACGATAATATCGATAATAACGACAAATACGATAATAATGAAGATAATAATATTAGTAGCTATAACAGCGACAATAATAATGGTAATATTAATAATAGTAAAAATAATTATAATAATTATAACAATGATAATAACAATGATAATAACGATAAAAACGATGATAACGAAATTAACCATAAAAGCGTAAATAACGATAATAATAACGCAAATAATAGTTGCAATGATAACAGCGAAATTGATAACGGTAATATTAATATATAAAATTGATAACGGTAATAACAATAATAATGATAATATTAACGACAATTATAGTAGTTAATATAACCAAGAAAATAATAACGATAATAATAAAAATAATAATAATATTTATAGTAACAACAATAATAATAAAAAAACTGTAAAAACTACAATAACTATAATAACGCCAATAATATCAATAATAGTATATTCACGATAATAACTATAATAACTTTTCTAATAACGGTAATAACGATAATAACGATGATAAAGCTAATAATAGCGATATTAACGATAATAATTATATTAACGATAATAACAATAACAACGGTAATAATGATCGTACCGTTAATAACGTCAAATGATGATAATAATAACGATAATAATAATAATAACGATAGTAACGATAATAACGGTAATATCGATAAGAATATAAGTAAGGATAATAAAGAAAATAACAATAATACCGATAACAACGACAATAACGGTAACGACGTTAATAACTATAATAACGACAATAATAGCGATAATAACGATAATGAAAATAAAACGATATTGATGTTAAAAACGCTAGCAACGATAATAACAACGACTATAATAATAATAATGATAATAACGATTATATCGTTAATAATAACAAAAATAATAATAATATCGATTATAACGATAATAACGATAGTAATAACGATAAAAGTAATAATAACGATAATAACGATAATCACGTTAGTAATAACCATAATACCGTTAAAAACGATATTAACGATAATACCGATAATGACGAAATTAACTATAATAGCGAGATTACCTATAATAATAATAGTAAGGAAAATAGTAACAATAATAACCATAATAATAATAAATATAGTAATAAACATAATAATGATAATAATAAAAATATCGAAAATAACGATAACAATTAAGATAATAACAATAATAAAGATAATATCCATAATAAAGAAAATAGCGGTAATAAAGATAATAACATTAATTACGATAATAAGATCGATAATATTAAGGGTAACGGTACCTGAGACAATAATCACTATTATAATAATAATAATCATAATAATTATATAACGATAATAATGAACACAATGAAAATAACGATGATAACGATATTCATCATAAAACGGTAATAAAGGTAGTAACGATGATAACAATAATAATGATAATAAAGGTAATAACGTTAATAATGACAGTAATAACGATAACAATAATAATAACAATTATATCGATAATGAAGATGATGTTTATAATAACGGTCTAGTTGACTGATGAGTCGAGCAGTCCATCTGCACCTACGTTCCTGCACCCATCTACTTTGCCAGGCCTTGATGCTGATGGACCGAGCGAGCCTTGATGCCTTCTCCTTACCCAGGACACACCTTTGCTGGTAGACGAATTTCTTCTCCTGGGCAAATAGGTCAATCGGTATTGCCCCGGCAACAACTAGCACTGTCGTATCTGAGACCGTGCGGTAAGAGCACGCGATTCGGAGGGCGCCCCTCCTCTGTACCGCGGCTATGCGCTTGCGGTATTTCTGTTTTCGTAGGGCCTCGGCCCATACTTCCGCTCCGTACAGCATCACTAATTCGGTGGCACACATCAGTAGTCTCCTCATGCACGGCCGGGGACCGTTGACATTGGCCATGAGCATGCCCAGTGAGGCTACTACTTTCGCCGCCTTGTCAGCTGCCCTGATAATATGCTAACCATAGTTAAGCTTGTTGTCAAGCATAACCCCGAGATATTTGACAGCCGACTTAGTCTTGACCGCCGCGTCTCCTACAATGAAGCTACGCAAGGTGCTGATGCGCTTGCTCGTAATTAGCACGATCTCTGTCTTCTGGGCTGCTAGAAATAGCCCGTGGTCTTCCATCCAGGAGGAAACTCTCCGCATTACCTGGTTGAGCAGCAATTGTGCCCCCTCCGTGTCTCTTCCGGTTATGACAACTACAATGTCATCTGCATACCCTACCAAGAATGTACCTTCTGGGACTGCCATACTTAAGATACCGTCGTAGAATATAATCCATATATTCGGTCCAAGTATGGAG